GGAGAGCGGCCGGGCAGCGAGGCCGCCCTGCCGCGCCGGGTGGGCACACACAGCAGCGCCTGTGCCCCCGCGGGAAGCTCATCCTCTCTTCCTCGCCAGGTCAGGGTCCAGGAGCCGTGGAGGATATGCTGGATGTGGAGAACAAGCGTATGGCCGACAGCCTGGCCAGCAAGGTCACCAGGCTGAAGTCGGTGAGTTGCCGAGTTCGCGCCGGGTGCCGCGGCGAGGAGGAGACGTGGCACCGCGCAGCAGCCGGGCTGTCGTGCAGGGTCGTGCAAGCCTAGAGGGCTTCCCGCCTGTTAATGACCCTCTGCTGGTGCTGACAGAAGGGTTAACTTTCACTTGTCAAATGCCAGGGATGGCTTTATGGATTTCCACTTTCCTTTTGAGGTGTAGAGACATCGCCTCACGGGAATGACGTGGGGTTTGTGGCACTGGGGGAAGGAGTTTTATACACAGAGAGAAACATAAAAGCTGTGCAAAGAGGTATTGCTAAAGGCACCTCCTCGGGAATAAAGGCACAATAAAATGTGCCTTTACTTAAAGGTAAATCAGTTTTGAAAAGCACACGTGTCTCGATGTAAGTGGTGTTCTTAAAGCCAGTTCACTCCTACTAACATCAAATACTTTTCATGTTTAGTAGAAGCTGGGGACTCAACTCACAGAAGGGATGACTGAGTTCCTGATGTTGTGTCCTGGCGTTTGAATGCTCCTGCCCTATATACAACCATCTCAGACAATCAAGCTTTATTTTCAGCACCGCAGGGCTGAAAAAGTTCAACAACCTGAAACCGAAATGAGAATTTTGTTGCTCTGCTGAACAAGCCTCTGTGTGTGTGTGAGACAGGGCAGCAGTGCCTCACATTTCTAATGGGCATCTCAAATGTTACCAGCACTAGGTGTGTTAGGGGTGCTCTGTACATTAAAACTTCATTAATACCTGTTTCCTCCCCTGTTCTGTGTAGCTGGCTCTGGACATTGACAAAGATGCTGAGGATCAAAACCGTTACCTGGATGGCATGGTAAGGAACCAAGGAGGTGTAAAAAGCACGGGGGTTTTTGTGTTGGCTCTCAGCAGTCAACTGTGAAAGTTTAAAATTAGCAGACAGATCCCAGCAGTCTGTTTGGCAATCCAGGGAATGGAACTAAACGTATTTCCAGTGGAGTTCTTGATAAGTAAACGTCAGATACTTGGCAGCTGCTATCGTTGCTTTGTCTGCACAGACAATGCGGCCGGTGCTGAGCTTCTGGAAAGGCTGGTGCAGGACAGCAGGCTTCAGAAATACCAGCGAAGGGAGACTGCTTCCTTCCTGGGATTAAAGAGCTGCCTCCTGTGGCCAGTGCTGGGAGATGTGCCCCTTCCTCAGCTGCCTCTGTGAGTTTTGGCATTGCTGTTGAAATCTGCCGGGTTACTGTGACACCTGAAACGCACACTGCCTGTCAGGGCTTTGTAGTTCCCTGGTGTCTTTGGAAGGAGCAAAGCTGATGCTCTGGGTCACTCAGGTTCTCCTGTGCCCTGCTCTGTTGTCTTTCCACCACACAACACCCACTAAAACCAAAATGGCTTTTCAGAGTAACCTGCCTCTGAGGTTTGGTTGCTGGTGGAGAATCACAGTGTGCTGGGGAGGGGCTGGAACGGGCAGTCCTGTAGCAGGGGGGTTACCTCTGAGGCTTTTCAAGAGAAATTAAATGCCTTAGCAGAACTGTGGGAGGAAGGGAATCCAGCCCAGAGGTGTGAGGAGGAGACTGGCACTGTAGCACTGGTGCTTGGAAAAGCCTTTTCCGCATGTGCTGGATGCTGGAGCGTGGTGTGTGGAAGCAAGAGAAAAGATAATTGTAGTGTAGAAACCAGTTGAGTCAAAGGTGTGAGCTCAGCTCGGGAGTTTAATTACAGTGTACACAGACAGTGTTGGAGTGTCTGAAATGGATATTGGCTCAGCCTGAAAACGAGGAGAATGGAGAATCAGCATAAAACGTGTAATGGCGAAAGACGTTAAAGGAGAGAAGCCCTCAGTCAGCATGAAGTTGTGCTTCTGGTACAGAGAAGGTTCTGAAGTATTCCAGGAGCAGTGTGAGCAAAAGCTCCAAGCAGTTTGTGGATAATGACAACAGACCAGAAGGCAAAATCCAAGTGCCTGAACTGCATTAATTGGAGAGTTGTTTGCCACTCTGGCTGAGTTACACACGCCAGCCCATGCTAAAGAGACAAGAGAACCCACAGCAGGAAACGGGACCTTCCTCCGTGCCCGTGGCCCCGGCACGCGTGACGGCTCCGGCTCCAGGGGGGAC